TATGTCAATTAACTCTTTCAGGCACTGCCTGTCTTCATACAATATTCCAGCTTAAAGCACACAGCCATAGTCCTTAACTTGGATGCCAAATGCACCACTCACACCACTAATTGGTCAATACAGGGAAAATTAGTGCAAGGTATTCATCCCACTGTGCATGAACTTGGGGTCCCCATTTAACCCAGATGTCAGTATCCTGACTCAAAAAACAAAATCGTATTTGAGTTGCATTCCCCTACAGCACAAAGAACAGCATAAAGCATTGGGCAGATGCAGCCTGATACAAATGAAAATGAAATATTCTTAAAAATGTTGAACAGGGTGAATTCACTTCATATTTTGCCAATATTTCCAATGAACATAAAGCTAATTGTAGAATCCCCACAGTGCAGAAAGAGGCCATTCGGCCCATCGAGTCTGCACTGACCCTCTGAAGCACATCCCTATCAGACCGACCCTATCCCTGGACCCTGTCATTTTCCATGGCTAATACACCTAGGCTGCACACCCCTGGACATCACGGGGCAATATAGCATGGCCAATCCTCCTAACCTGCACATCTTTGGACTGTGGGAGGAAACCAGAACACCCAAAAGGAAACCCACACAGACACAACATGCAGACTCCACACAGATACCCCAGGCTGGAATTGAATCCAGGTCCCTGGCATTGTGAGGCAGCAGTGCTAACCACTGTGCCACCACACCAGCCCAAAGTGCACCACAGCAGGGTGCAAGTCATTTTCCGCTCTCCACATGCTGAAGCTGCTCAATCACAGACATGTATTTCCAATAGAACAAAGTGGAGCAATCAGCTCACTTCTTCATTGCTAGCTTAGAATTGCACTGTTTAATCCAGTAATTTCATAGGCACTGGCCCTGTTTATCTTACTCAGTTTGATTTATATTCATGAGGTGATAACTTACCATTTGACTCCCTGCTTCAAATGGCAATAAAGCGTCTCAGCTGTGACTACAACTGATTTCAAATACGTGACTTTGCCGGATATATTCCCTGCACGTTCAGCCAGTTCCAAGTTCCATCAATACATTTATTTCCCTACAAGTTCTCCCTCAGGACAACTTTCTGACTGATATTTTGACTGCTTACTTCTAGACATGAACACTAGGGATCAATTAAACTGCATACTGGGGCCAATGGAGTGATACTGCAGCTCACTCTGATTTTCCATATATGTTGCAATCAACTCACTCATATTATCTTTTTATGGGGTTTGGCCCAGGAACATACATGCCGAGACATTGCCTTTATCCTGACAGGTGAGGGTCAGCTGTGATAAGGAGTGTGACAAATGAGGAAAGAGGACAATGAAGAGTTTCATAAATCCAACATTTGTGTTTGCCCCTTTCGGCTTTCATGCTCTTAGATTTATTTTTCCCTGCAAGGCAAGTGAAAGAATATTGAATTCAACTACTGCTTAGGGTAGAAAACTCACTTGGTGACTTTATTTCACTTTCTAGGCCATTCTGATGTTCTTGCAAGTTAAAATGTGCTGCTTTCTTGAATGGTATTCATGGTTCTGTTTTGTAAAGCACATGAAGAAGACGAAAGATACTTGCGACTTGCAGCTAAGGCTCACCATATTCCCATTGAAACACATACAAAGAACAAAGAACATTACAGCACAGGAACAGGCCCTTCGGCCCTCCAAGCCTGCGCGGATCCAGATCATCTATCTAAACCTGTCACCTATTTTCCAAGGATCTGTATCCCTCTGCTCCCTGCACATTCACGTATCTGTCTAGATACATCTTAAATGACGCTATTGTGCCTGCCTCTACCACCTCCGCTGGCAACGCATTCCAGGCACCCGCCACCCTCTGCGTAAAGAACTTGCCACGCATATCTCCCTTAAACTTTTCCCCTCTCACCTTGAAATCGTAACCCCGAGTAATTGAGTACAGATTTCTAAATGGATACTTTGAGTTTGCTCCTCCCTACGTTGCAAAATAAATGTTCAAGGGATGAATAAAAATGGAAAGTACTGCTTTGACAAAACCACGCAGAATTTTTTTATTGTTCCTGTTGGTCTGGTATCTCTACATTGATTTCAAACAGAAAAACGCTTTACATTAATTTTAAACAAGGTTGAGTAAATACTGGTTATGATTTTCCAGTTGCAGTTTGAAAGAGAAATTGCAGCTCGGGTTGAAAAATAACAAGATGTCTTTACAGAATGCTAACAACAGTATTTCATAAGCTGCAGTCAGATCTATATACTCATTAACATTGCCTTTCTTTTTGATGTGGAAAACAAGTGCTAAAGGTTGGCAAGATGATGTGTGCACTATAATCACATGCATTACATGCTCCTTGCAATTAATTATCTGTAAAAGCAACTTTGGCTACCACATGAAATAAGAGAGAAACCAGATCATTTTTAAAACTACACAATGAAAGTTGAATTGACAGAAGTAAATGCAAACAGTCCTAAAGTACGGTTAAAATAAGTCAAAAAATAGCAGGCAAAAGTGAACAATGGGGATTACACAAGGAAATTATTTATAATACATATTACATTTTAGTGTGTACTGTAATATCTTAGTATTACAGTGATTGGTGAGCTTTAAGGATTATGGTCTCTGTCTCTCATCCATACCCAAAGTTAGGGTCACAGCATCATCTGGAGATTGAGAAACCAAAATATAAAGACATAACTATTAGTTCCCCACTGTCTGAATGGGTTAATGTACTGATTGATGAGATATATATGTATTCAAAGCTGCAGATTATGTAGCTCCTTGAACCTGCTTCAGATGTTAATAAGATCATGGCTAATCTGATTGCAACCTCAAGTCCACATTCTTACAGAGATAGCAAGAACTACCGATGTTGCAGTCAGAGATAACACAGTGTGGAGCTGGAGGAACACAGCAGGCCAGGCAGCATCAGAGGAGCAGGAAAGTTGACATTTCGGGTCGGGACCCTTCTTCAGAAATGGGGGAGGGGGAAAGGAGCTCAGAAATAAACAGAGAGGAGGGTGGGGCAAGGGAAGGTAAATAGGATGATGATAGGTGAGTGCAGGTAGGCAGTGGTGGGGATTAGACAGTGAGGTGGGAGGGGTGGATAGGTGGAAGACAAGATGGACAGGTTGTGTCAGGTCAAGGAGGTGGGAATGAGAGGGAGGGTTGGACATGGGATGAGTCGGGGTTAGGGAGACTTTAAAACTGGTGAATTCCATGTTTAGGCCATCGGGCTGTAAGCTCCCGAGGCAGAATATGAGGTGTTGCTCCTCCAGTTTGCGGGTGGTGTCATTGTAACACTGGAGGAGGCCCAGGATGGACATGTCACCCAGGGAGTGGGAGGGGGAGTTAAGATGGTTGGCAACTGGAGGGTGTTGACGTTTGTCACGTACAGAGCATAGATGCTCTACAAAATGGTTGCCGAATCTTACATTATTACCTTTTTTGATTCATTCATGGGTTGAGAGCATTGCAGCTCGGCCAGCATCTATCACCCATCCCAGATGGCAGTTAAGAGATAACCACATTGCTGTGAGTCTGGAGTCACATGTAGTCCAGACCAGGTAAGAATGGCACTTTCCTTCCTTAAAAGATATTAGTGAAGCAGATGGGTTTTTTCAACAATAGACAATGGATTCACAATCATCATCAGACTCTTAATTCCAGATTTTTATTGAATTCAGATTTTATCACCTGCCATGGCAGGATTATATTCTCTGTATCTCTGGATGAACAGTCCAATGATAATATCACTAGAACTTGCCTCCCCTTAACTACCTCCACTTACTCTTTTCAAACTTTCAACCCTTGTATGGCAAAAATGAATCCACCTCTGCTTTAAAAATATTCAAAGAATCATTTTATGGTTTTTTGGGGAAGAATTTCAAAGACCCATGATCTTTGAGAGAGAAAACATTTCTTCTTATTGCTGTCTTGAATGAGTGATCCTCATTTTGGTTTCTCCTAAAGAGAAATCAGGTTTTCTACATCCAACCCATCAAAACCCCTTAGGATCTTAATTATTCCAATCTAATTGCCATGTACTCTTCTAAACTCCAGCAGATACCAGCCGAGACTGTCCATCTTTCCCAAACAGTACACCTATTTCAGGTATTACTTCAGTAAACTTCTCTGAACTGGTTCCAATGGATTTGCATTCTTCCTTAAATAAGGCGACCAATGCTGTAGACTGTATTCCTGATGTGATCTCACCAGTGGACTGTGTAACTGATGCGTAACTATTGAGCCGCTGAGAATGCATTCTGCCAGATTCTGTCCCAAGACTGTGTTGAAGTACCTATTTCAGACAGGGAAACAATCTTCTGTATCCGAAGAAAAGATGAGAGTAAACTGGGGTGCCAGGGAGACTGTCGCCTGGAGCATTTGCTTGTATAAATGGTAGGCAATGTTAATATGGAGTCAGAATAGTGTTAAATCAGTTCCAAAGATGTCTAGGGCAATATAGATGCCCAGCAGTCACTTTCCACACATACACACAGTGATTCTGCTTCTGTACTATGTTGTGGTGGATGAAAAGCTCTTCCTCAACTGTTATTTTCACCTGGTCTCATGATTTTTTCCCTGGAAGTAATGAAATGATTTGATGTTCTTTTGAAGGGGATAGATACATCAGGCTAATTAGATTTCTTTCATTTACATTTGGATTTCACTGACCGAAGAAACACTGACATGTCAACTGTCACAGTTTCTCTCTTCTCCAACAAATCAAAGACTAGTACACTCTCATTACACAATTAAAAAACAACACTTAAGTCCATGAGAGTTCATGACTTCCAAAACCGAATGTTCTTTTCAAGATGGTAGTCAAATAACTAGTAATGTTTCCATCAGTAGATGAAACTACATTATAGAGTCTCAAAACCAGCACATGCAGAGTTATTGCATAAAGTGTAATCTTATTATTTGGGAGTAAGAAGCATGTTGACATGAATTGATCAATAGAATATTTTTCAAAAACATCTAGGATAAAGCAGATATTTCAAAGTTTGTACTCACCGAAAGGTCATCTGGAACACCTGACCCTGATTGACCTGCTGCGATTTGTTGTTGTAACCGTGCAGCATCTCTACAAAGAGCGTGTCATTCAGTTTGGCATCAAGCTTCTGGCATTTTGTGCCCTCACATGTCTCTGATAGCAGCACACAAGATTTACCATCTGCTGCCAGTCTGTACTCCTCCACACAGCTGCCAGTAGAGAAAGAAGCTTTATCAGTCAGTTACAGAGCCTGGGAAAAAAGTCACCTCCCAATGCTGGCTTTGAAGTGTCACCTGAAACCTTACCACCAGCTAACTTGATATTCTGTGGGGAGAAAAGTTTACAGCACACACTAAAATAATGTAGGATTCCTTATTATAATCAAGCGGAATAAATATCAGATGGGTCTTATAATAGGGTGGTGTTCTGTTTTGACATATTAAAGACAAGATATATACCCCACCACGTTTCTCATTCTTTACATTTCCAGCTTCTTTCCCAGCTGTTTTGAGCTCTGATTTGGAATGTTTAAACATTATTGTTTCATTCTCATACCTTGCTACAAATTGGTTTCCACGACAGCCATCCCCCTTCATGCCTGTGACCATAATGCAAGCGTGATAGTAAGACAGTAAATTATCCAGTTGTGCGAGGATATCATAACTGAGTTCATATGGTATCTAACCCCACATACTGTGAGTAGGCAATCACCATTCAGTAACTGGGAGTACCCTAGCCCTTGTTTGCGACCATAATTCAGAGAAAATGTAAACAATCTAGGTTATCAACAGCCAACTGACTAACAGCAGTGAATTATTTACCCTGAAGGCTGGAACTAAGATTTTCTTGCTCTGTGCAGCTCAGAGATGGATCCTTTGTTTCTTAGCCAATAGGACAGAAAGGAGAATGATTTTGCAATCATTGTAAGTTGAGTTTATTGAACCATTTAATGACATGCCACAAATGAAATCTGGACTTGTTCGACATTCGATAACAACTTGGGGACTCAGCTATAAAGATAGATAATGGATTTCAAGAAGTGTTCAGCATCATATCTATGATTTCCATTTTACACAGGTGACCTTTTATGCACACATTTATGGCTCAGTAATATAAATGTATTCATAAGATAACAGCTGCACTATGGCAAAACTCATTTTCTATGGACGCATATAACTGCATTTTACTTTTAAATCAAGTTTCAAAAGAACAACTTTTAATCTTGAAAGTTTATTAATATTAAAATATTCTCCACTTCTTAACTCATTGAGAATGCAATCTCTTCACCAGACTCAAGAAATAAAAAGATTTGTTCAAGGAATTCTCTGAACTTGAAAATACTCTGTTCTGTCACTATATATTTTCTTCTCGCATACCAAAGGAGTTTAATCCTTTTCTCATCCATGTGTCTCTGAAGCATGGTTACTATAGAGTCACTTGTGACTGTAGTACATCAGCAACACTTTCCAGATCAATCTACAAAACAGTAGTCTGAAATGTCTATCTGTAATCAAGCCTTGGCAGTAAGCTTGTATGAAGGGAAGCACTGAAGTTATTTCCCCAGCGGTATTCCTCAGGCAGCACTCAAAATGTTCACAAATTACTTTTCTGTTTCCCTTTTGTAAATAGAAGAAAACTTTGTGAATGTCTTGAAAGCCATAAAGACCATTCAGAAACTAAATCTCTGTGACAGTTTTGAAGTAAGGTAGATAAATAACATTGGTATCTTCTTGATACAGGAAGAGCCAACAAGGCTATATCTTGCATTGATTTTAGTAATAATCTATCCACCGCACAAAATAAGAATATAAATTGTTGTGGGGAACAAGATGAGATCTGACAAAGCACCCAAGATTCTGGAGAGGTTTGAATCAATGGGAAGGTACCAAATCTAACATACTTTTCAAGAAAGGTGGGGAACGAAACACTGAACTATAGCCCAGTTAACCAGACATCATTTATTAGAAACGGTCAGGCTCCATCATGAAGGAAATGGCAAATGGCACTTAGAAATTCACAAAATGATTAGATGCAGTCCATATGGCTTCATGAAAGGGGAATTGTGTAATTTTTGAGGGCTGTAACTAGCAGGGTTGATAAAGGAGAACCAGTGGGTGTTGTATATATGGAGCTCCAATGGATAAGGGCTAATGGAATTGGGGTAATATATTACCACTGAAGATAGTTAAAAGCCAGAAAACAGGGAGCAGGATCATTTTCAGGTGGCAGCCTCTTACTTTGGAGTGCTATAGAAATCAGCACTGGGCCACTCAGTTACTTTTGGTCTATATCAGTAAATCAATATAAAATTCATATACTAGTGTTGCCTTGAAATTATCATCGATTGTCATAAACCATCCGTCAGATTTACTCAGGTCTTTTAGGGAAAGAAATCTGCTATCTTCATCCGGTCTGGCCTATATGTGACTCTAGATCTGTAGCAACTTTTATCTGATGTGGACACCATTTGCTAGGCCTGTGTTTATTGCCTCTTTCTAATTGCCCATAGGGCAGTTAACAGTCAGCAGCATTGCTGTGGTACTGGAGTTGTATGCAGGTCAGACCAGATAAGGATGGCAGATTTCCTTAATTAAAGGACATTAGTGAACCAGATGAATCTTTTTATGACAACTGACATGGGTTACATGTTTGCCATTATTCTGCATTGTCAATTATTCCAGATTTTAGCTGAATTCAAAATTCACAACCTGTATAACGGTATTTGAACTTATGCAACCAGCACATTTGCTTGGGACTCTGAATTACTGCTCCAGTGATATTACCACTCAATCATCACCTCCCCCATTGTGGTTAACTCTTAAGTACCCTCTGACATGGATTTGTAAGCTATTCAGTTCTAGGATAATTAAGGTTGGGCAACAATTACTTGTCCATGATGCCTATATTCCACTAAAACCGAAAAAGAATAAAACTATACACATTAACAAAAGAACTCAGCACATCATGCGTTGCTGGAAGGTAATCATCTCATTCCCAGGATAACGCTGCAAGGATTCCTCAGGGTAAAGCCCCAGGCATCTTCAGTTCCTTCATCAATGACCTGCCTTGCATCAAAAGGTCACTCATTGGGATGTTTGCTGATGATTGCACAATATTCAATACCATTTGTAATTCCTCAGAAAATGAACCAGTCTCTGTTCAAATGTAGCAAGACCTGGACAATATTCAGCATTAGGCTGATAGTAACAAGTGATATTCATGCCACACAAGTTTTCAGTAATGGTCATTGCAAACAAGAGAGAATCTAACCATCTCCCCCAGACATACAATTGGATTACCATTGCTGAATTCCAAACAATCAACATGTTAGGGGTTAATATTGGCAGAAATTGAACTGAACCAGCCATATAAATATCATGGTTACACAAGCAGATCAGAGGCTGGGAATTCTCAGGCAAATAACTCACTGTATGTGTCCCCAAAGCCTGTCCACTACCTGTAAAGTACAAGTCAACGGTGTGATTCATTATCCCACACTTTCCTGGATGAGTGCAGCTCCAACAACACTCAAAAGCTTCACACCATCCAGGTCAAGTGCTTGACCAGTACCCCATCCACTATACTTCAACTTATACCATGTTTCTTTACTGTCACTGGGAAAAAATCCTGGAACTCTCTCCCTAACAGCACTGTGCATGTATCTACACTAAATGTATTGCAGTGGTTCAAGGCGGCAGCTCACCATCACCTTCTCAAGGGATATCAGAGATGGGGAACAAATGACACCCATACTTAAGTAAGAAGAAAAAAGTGTGGTCATCATTCCAAACAGGGGCCACAGCATTGTGAGAGGCAAGCATGCGCTAAGTGTAGCACAGATTACTTACAGCTAGCCTCCATCTCTTAAAATAGGCTTGCATTTTGACTGGGGGGCCATTGTAAGAGTGAAGTTGATTTGGGTAGGACAAAAGATTGGCGCAACATAGCAGAGAGGGTCTTTAAGATTCTGTGATATAACATTGGAGGTCTTTGTGCAGGAAGCGGGCAGAAAGCGAGAGATCCTCGATCCAGGGGACCAGGAGAGTCTTCAGGCAGACACAGCAATGATAATGACAGTAGGTTGTCAATGTAGCATTGTAGCCCATTAATGATTTCAACTGTCCCATCCAATAGTGTCTGCTGTGGTCTGCATCAGAGTCTGAAATGGTAGCTGCAGCACTAAAAATACAGCTGTTATGAAGTTTGAGGTGTAGACATACAGCATTGATGTATCAACGAGCTCTGTCTAAGTTGATAAAAAGCACATCCAAACATACTGTCCCGGGTCAGTGGCATTGTTTGAGTGTGTGATGAGACCATGACTTTAAGAGGTGTATATTGTCCTTTTTTTAATGAAGGGAGGTTGAGACAGAGATATCAAGCAGTCTGTTCCAAGTCAACAAAGTAAACATCTTGTGAGGACTTGTGTTTTTTTTAAGTAGGAACAATAGAAGCAGAATGAAAAAGGTGGAGTCAGGCTCCCATAGAACCAAAGTTTCACTTTAGCTTTCAGTAGTTGTTGGGGTTTTGAAGCTGCCATATATCTCTCTTTGCTGCCAGAATTGCATGCGAGACAAACTATTTTACCGAATTTGTCTTTGCCAAGGTATGTTCCTGGGGTGTTACTATATTGAAACAGTTGCTGTTTACTTGTTAAACAATCTATTGTTCTGTTAAGTTTACCAAAACAGTTAAAGTTAGGCCAATTCTTCTTTCTTTTGTTGGTATTTTAACTGTAAAGTTAGTACAGTGTGTTTTGCTTAGAGCTGAATAGTGTAAGCAATTGAATTACATCTGGAACACAGCATCTTACATTTGACTTTAAATAAAATAAAAGTTAGGATTGAGGCTATCTCCTTCTTATATTTGAAGGTGGTTTGACCTGATCCATAATAAGGGACACCAGGGCACCATCATGCCCTTGGAGGAATTTAGCATTGACAAAACATGAAAGAATATAACATGTTTCTGGAGAGCAAGAACTTAAAGGTAAGTTCTGAAGATTTACCAGGGTAAATTTAACAAAGATAGACAACTTATTTCCTGGATTTCCTGATGCTAGCATATTGGGTGGTTCCCAATAAAAGTCCTGTCCCATCACCACAGTAAACACCATATTGCTTGGGCATAAAAGTGAATGCCAGGAACATGTTCTGGTTGTGTGCGGTTTAATTTCAGTGGTGCTATTTTCGCCCTTGTCAATCTAACTAACACCTCTTAACCTAGAAATGACTATGCGTTCATAAATTGGACGCAGAATGGTATAATTCTTCCTGCTGCCTCAGAGGATTGATGGAAACTTTTTTACTATGAAATCCAATTATTGTCTCTTCACTGCAGGATACATATTTACCAATATAAAGCTGTTTTGTTAAATTTGCAGTGAACCCCATTGTGGCTTCTTAGGATGAAAGTAACCTGAAATGCTTTCAGATTTTGCACAAAGAAATAAAGGGCTCAATTTAGTAGATTTTTTCTTACAAGTTGGCCTTCAATAGGTGGGCACTGGTACAGCCTTTCCTCTCAGCCAGGAAATTTAGATTCAATTCCACTTGTCCTGGAAATAATTATAACATTTCAGCACCGGTTGTCAAAAAAAAATTCACATCAGTCAGTCTCACTTCAATGATGGGCAAATTGTTGGGGAAAAAAATTCTGAGAGACTGCATTGTCATTTGTTTAAAAAAAGTGAAGGGTCTTGGGATGCAGTGGCAGGGTCCCGACTTCTGGGCCGGAAGATCTTGGTTTGAGTCAAACTTGCTTTGGAGGTGTGGCTGAACAAGATTTTTTTAATATGTATATTTGTGTTTCTCCATAACAATGATAGCCCATTTTCTGTAAATCTATACTCACCCGCAGAACATAAGGATATTATTGGAGGAAGGGTCTTCAGTCAATGGCACTGTCTGTTGTAAGCAAAGTTGCTCACAACCTCCATTAAACCCATCAGAACAGTCAATTCCTTTGGTGTAGTCAAAACAGCCAGAATCATCCCTCATAGGCCTCAGGCCCACAGGACACTGAAACAAGACAAAAGTTGCTGCAATTGAGACTTGTTATTTTGGAATACTGTCCAAAGATGCACATTGATTCATTGCAAACATTAATATATCAGGTTTAAAACTAACATGAAAATGTCTCTGGTCAAATTTATTAAATTATCATGGTTTTGCTAATATAACTCTTGACTTTCTTATGCTGCATTTATAACATTTCCCAAGGTTTTTCATGGTGGGAGGTCAGACATGGAAAGGAGCCAGGGCTACAGGAGGGGTCGTAGATAGGGCATGGAGAACATACATGTTTTAGTGAGACTGCTAAATTTGGGATGAAATATTTCCCCAGGGAAGAAGAGTTGCTGAAGAATGTTTTACAGTTTTCATTGGAAGTTGTTGAAGTTTCTGGTGCCAAAGACAGAGATGGGAGGCCATCGAGAAAGTTGGGCAAAGGAGTGCAGAATGAGGTTTGCTGGGACCTGCAGAGGAGAACAAGGATTTTAAAGAAGATAATCTGAGGTAAATGGAGTCATTAGAGGTAACTACTTCTCATGAAAGATGAATAGAGCTTCCTGTCGATGTGTTAGAATTTGTGTGAGATGGAAATCAGGAAGCTAATAAGATTGATTCTGAAAAAAAAATCTCTCAGCAGCAACAGACAGCCTGTATCTTTTGCCAACATTGCAGCATTCAAACTATTTACATAAGATTATTATAAATTTGTGTTCCCTCAATCTTTGTATTTAGTTATGTTTTTGTTTTCTACCAGAATAAAAGTTTTCAAGCTTGTATGTCAACAATGTACTGTAACATTTGGTAAGTAAGATAACAGATTCGTGTTAAAATGACCAATTACCTAAGAAAATATTGCTGGAGAACTTCTTAATCATAAGCAAGGATGAGTTATTTTGGTAAAGCTACTGAATGAGGTAAAGGTAAAAAGTGCATACTTTTGCACTGGTATAACAAAGTGTAGAGCTGGATGAACACAGCAGGCCAAGCAGCATCAGAGGAGCAGGAAAGCTGATGTTTCGGGTCTAGACCCTTCTTCAGAAATAGGGGAGGGGAAGGGGATTCTGAAATAAATAGGGAGAAAGGGGGTGGCGGATAGAAGATGAATAAAGGAGAAGATAGGTGGAGAGGAGACAGACAGGTCAAAGAGGCGGGGTTGGAGCCAGTAAAGGTGAGTGTAGGTGGGGAGTTAGGGAGGGAATAGGTCGGTCCAGGGAGGACGGACAGGTCAAGGGGGCGGGATGAGGTTAGTAGGTAGGAGATGGGGGTGGGGCTTGAGGTGGGAGGAGTGGATAGGTGGGAGGACAGGTTAGGGAGGCAGGTACGAGCTGGGCTGGTTTTGGGATGTGGTTGGGGAAGGGGAGATTTTGAAGCTTGTGAAGTCCACATTGATACCATTGGTCTGCAGGGTTCCCAAGCGAAATGTGAGATGCTGTTCCTGCAACCTTCGGGTGGCATCGTTGTGGCACTGCAGGAGGCCCAGGATGGACATGTTGTCCAAGGAGTGGGAGGGGGAGTTGAAATGGTTTGCAACTGGGAGGTGCAGTTGTTTGTTGCGAACCGAGTGTAGGTGTTTCGCAAAGCGGTCCCCAAGCCTCCGCTTGGTTTCCCCGATGTAGAGGAGGCCACATCTGGAACAGCAGATACAGTATACCACATTAGCAGATGTGCAGGTGAACATATGTTTGATGTGGAAGGTGTTCTTGGGGCCTGGGATAGGGGTGAGGGGGGAGGTATAGGGGCAGGTGTAGCACTTCCTGCAGTTGCTGGGAAAAGTGCCGGGTGTGGTGGGGCTGGTGGGGAGTGTGGAGCTGACAAGGGAGTCACGGAGAAAGTGGTCCCTCTGGAAAGCAGATACGGGTGGAGAGGGAAAAATGTCTTTGGTAGTGGGGTCAGATTGTGGATGGCGGAAGTGTCGGACGATGATGCGTTGGATCCGGAGGTTGGTGTGTGGTACATGAGGACGAGGGGGATTCTGTTTTGGTTATTATTGCGGGGAGGGGGTGTGAGGGATGAGGTGCGGGAAATGCGGGAGACACGGTCGAGGGCGTTTTCGACCACTGAGGGGGGGAAGTTGCGGTCCTACTTTTGCACTGTCAGGTTTTCTAATTCATCAGAGCTCACACTGATGCTTTGCAGCATCATGTAAGTAAACAGAAGCACTGCAACTTTTGTCTATGCCATATTAATGTTTTTTAATAACAATGTTGTCCTCACAATCATCTGCAGGAAGTAAAATGTACCAGTTAGCTCCATATGAGTGAATTTATAATTGCAAAATATTCATGAAGCAATAGCTGTCATTAAACCATTAGCACACAAACTGAGAGACTGAATCATACTCCCAGGCAACATTAGAAATATAATCATCAACTACCATACAAATGCAAAATACTGTGGATGCTGACAAATTTAAATAATGTCAAAGATCCAAGAGTCTGGAAACTACTGTGGAGAGAGAAAGACACTTAGCAATCAGAGTTCTGATGAAAGGTCTTCAACCTGAAATGTTAAGTCTATTTCTTTGTCCAAATACTGCCAGAACTGCCAGCAATCTTAACATTTTCTGTTGCCGCCATTTGCTAATTTTCCATTAATAAAATACTCCAGAGTGTTATTTAAACAGAATCTACTCAGCAGTTTCCATGTGGTTATTGTGGACATTGAAATAGCATTGATTACTTTTAACAAGTACACATAAATAACACATATTTGTCCTGTTCTATCACACAAAGCACAGTGCAGGGAATTAAATGAGTAATCAGAAATTTGGTTCCTTTCATAAGTGAACAACGTGACAAAAAACATGTAGTTAATGCTGATGTTAAAGCTCATCATATTTATTGAATTATTCCCCACTGACATGGATAAGATTTCCCAGGAAGAAATCAAACTAGATTTTTTGATTGGTGTTATTTTAATGGCACTACCCTACTTATAACAAAACCTACTTTTAAACAAAAACAAAAGCAAGTCTAAACTAATCTGTCTGTCAAGTCACTGCAGAAACCAATATAGCCAAGTACAGAAGCTGGCAAATTGGCAGAATAGAATGTAACACACTATTTCCTGGAAAGTGATTTGTTCGTCTCTATAACTCACACCCACCCATTAAGATTAATTTTGTATTTCAGTGAGGGGGAAAGCATGAGCCCCAAAAAAAGAAAAAAAGAAGTATAACTTTGATCTTATGATCCACAATCTACACTGGTCAATCTCTTTGTTGACAATCCAGAAATAGTAGTAATTCCTTCCTAACAAAAGATTATTAGGAAAACATATAAGCAGGCTATGTGTAATGAAATTGCCCAGCATACATGATTTATTTAATTTTGAGGCAAATTTAACATTGGAATTAAAAGCAAAATACTGCAAATGTAGGCTGTCTGAAAGAAAGGCAAAAAACAAAATTGCTGGGAAAACTCAGCAGGTCTGGCAGCAACTGTGGAGAGAGAAACAGAGTTCAATTTTCAAGTATTTAATATGGCTTTCCCTTAGGGCTTAAAGCAGATTTTAGTAGATCTCTTTTAAAATTAGAAGTGCATTTTTCAATCAGCTAGTTGGCCCATGTAAATAAAAGGCATTAATCAGCAAAAGTAATTTTATGAAATTAAAACTGAATTCTACAAAAGTCAGAATTCAAACTGTACTGAACCGGTCTTCCGGAGAAAGCTATCAATGAGATTGGGGAAATTAAAAGGTGAATAATGACATGACCACATACAAAAGAACAGAAGGAGACCACTGGACACTAAAAGACCATTAACCCATTTCTTCCACAAATTGTATTCATTCATTCCTTATTGTAGCTAGCACCCAATCTCTTGAAGCTCTTGATGGAAGTTGTCACAACATTCCCGTCAATCAAGTAAAAAAATCTACTCTACTTAAGTGCTCAAAGCTGTCTTTCTTCATGAGAGGAACAATGTACTTATGCAAGCTCTTTTTATGTACATCTTTAACATAACAGCACAAGAAAAATTAAGAACCATGAGCAGGAGGAGACAAATCAGCCCCTTGAGCCTATTTCGTCATTTAGTACAATCATGGCAGATCTCATCTTGGCCTCAAATCCACTTTTCTGTATGCTTCCAAAAAACAACAAAATGATAGTTGAATGGTTAAAGTCACTCCAGAACATTCATGTTTGACACAGAATTTCAGGTTCTTAGGAACCACTTCCTTCAAAACAAAATTTTTGTTCCTGACTTTCTAAATCTTTTCAATAGCTCCTCATCCTGTCACCACTCTGCATTAAATGCAGCCTGTAAAAATAGGCTGGCAGACATCATACAGTGCACAGCATGGCATCTACATCCTAACAATGATTATATTGTTTGGATGCATTTAAAGCTATTAAAATCCAATTGAGAAATTGGAAAATGTGAATCATGAAGATAGATTTAATGCAGCCTAGGATAAGGATAATAAAAAGTATTAAAGAAAATAGCTAATCTCAATAGAGACCCCCAACTCCAGACTGTATGAACCACACAGAAAGATGAGATAATTATGCTGTGGCTATCAGGTAATACTTAGATTCAAAGGATGTAATGTTCAGTCTAAATGGACCCTATCTTAATATACCACTTCCATGGTGTGCGCATGCATGCTAAATTATGGCCTAAGAATGTTTTCAATTATTTTTCATCCTGTTTCCAGTGACAGCACCAAGCAGTCCTGCTGAGATCCACTGAAGCATCAAGATGGCGTCCCAGCCTCCAAGATGTAAATGTCTTGTGAAATAGTTGCCGACACAACAATTAGATCATCCTTTGTGTCCCACAGGATGTTTGATTACACGTTTTAGTGTACATTTTGCTTCAGTGGGTCTACTCTTCAGACCTCGCAGAAAAGCAAATGCCAAGTAAAGTTGCATCTACTCTTGTGAAATATTGCACTTCAGGTATCTCTACAAAACCAATGGTACTCTCCTTCCCAGAACAATCTCAACCAAAATCCGAAGGTGACAGGACGATTTCATGTTATTTTTATAAGGCTGAAATTTTCTA